ATAATAATAATAATAATAATAATAATAATAATAATAATAATAATTGTGGCTAAGTGTCTGAACCAAGCTTTCTAGTTCTCATACCTTGTACCCCACAGGGTTTCCATATGTAGTAAGAATATATAGCTCATTGTTTCTATGCTCAACATGATAAATGACATTTTTCGTTCGTTTTTGCACAAGAACAGGAGATTTAAAAGGGTGATGACAGTCTATCAACCACACTTCAGAGGTGGTCTTACTATTACTGTTTATAGTAATAAAATGTTTATCCTTTGTGCGGTAGAGATCCACAAAGTATCTGCAAACAAACAACACAGTAACAATAAAATAACATGTCATGATGTCATGACTTCATAATTCTTTGGGTAGTTTATTTACTGGGACACAAATCCTCAATTAAAATACAACATAACACCTTCTGTCTTAAGATGACATATGAACTTCAGCCTGTTTTGAGATATTGCTCTTCAACTAAGTCACTTGTTTTGGAGCAGCTCAGGATTTACTAGGAACCATGGCCTGTTTGCAGGTAAGATTTGGCTCCGTGTATGAGGCAGGATGCACACTTGATTAGGTATTCCTCAGCAAGGATGAAAACAAATTGGGGAGAAGGGATGCTTGAAGAATTTGGCTGTGACAGGACACAGCCTAAAAGGATGTAGAACTGCTGGCACTCATAATCTTCCCAGTTCTAGGGGTTGTGCTTAAATGATTCAATCTTGGGGATGACTGGATCCAAAAGAATTCTTGAAATGTTCTATATGCCCTTTTTTCCCTCTAGTTTTGTCTTTATCCTGATAAAAGTAAGTTACAGTTTCCTGTTGTACTTAACAAGGAAAAATGAGGCTTAATATTAATTTATCAACAGAATTAAAAATAGCCTGATTCTGTTTCAAGTCCTGATTAATAAACCAACATTAAAGAAAAACATTCTGCTTTGGAATTATTGCATATGTTCTCACATTGTGTTAAACCATAGTTTGCTTAATTATGATTTGTTCAATAAGACAGTGTTGGCTGGGTTCCTAATCTCAGTAAGCCACAAATAATCAAATCACAGTACTGCATAATGTTGGGAGTGAGGCACCTAAGCTGGCAGAGAAGAATGTTGGCTACTTCCTATACATAAAATGTTCTATCATCAGCTTGAGCAAATTGAGCCCAAGGTTATTGAACTAGAAATGTTTTTGGACTAATCCATCACAGCAGTTTTATTATTTATATGCATGAATATATATGTATACATTATTTATTTATGTATTATTATTTATTTGCATTTATATGTGTATATATTATTTATATACTTGAATGTGCAACATATTCTTACCAGGCTAATCCAACTGTGACACTGACACACCCAACTTTATCTGCATTATTCCACAATGCTTCTTAAATGGAGCATATGGTAGCAACATAAGATAATAGTTTTTCTATTGCATGTATGAACTTGCCACAAAAGGTAGTATGAGCAATAGCTTTGGGGTGAATCTAATAGTTCTCTTCTGCCCTCCTCACTGTTACTTCAAAGCAAAACATGATCATTATCAGTTGGGAAAGACAGATCAAGGATTGCTGACTACCTTAAACATACAAACTAAAGTCTCGGTCACCTATTTTTCATGTTCTTTTTGCAATAACTGTGCAGTTTCACAATTATTCCATATGTGAATAAAGCATTATAAAGGTCTAGGTAAGGGAATCTTCCCTTCAATGAGAAATTTATGCATTTAATGAGTTGTTACATAAAAATCTTTCTGGTCAGTTTTCTTTTGACTATTATAAAAAATTTTTTTTCTTTCTTTCCCCTGTCTATATTTATCAGTTTTAATGCAGAATTAAACATAGAGAAAGCAGTTGAACTATATCTGACTTACCTTGCATCAGTTTCTGTATACACCAGCTCAGAATGCTTTTTATTAAAATCAGACAAATATACATCATGACATTGAAGATTCTTTTGGGTGGTATAGAACAGAATCTCATGTGTAGCCCATTCTAGAGAAAAAGGAAAGCTTAGTTGATGCTAATATGAGATATGATTAAGAACCATAATGAATTGTATTTAATGAATCTAATATAAAAATAGTAAGTTGGAAATGAACATGCAAAAAACAACACACATGCACACTTCTAAAATTAACCATTGATTAAGATTAAATTTAAGATGAAAAGCAGTAAGAGATTAATGCAATTTTTTCAAAATTTCCTTTCCTGCAGATTCAGTGTGCAGTAGGTACTATTGTGTTGGATCTATTTCTTTCTGGATTTCAACTGTCACGCTTTCTATTTCTTCTAGTGTCCAAACAACCACTGTGAATAAAAAAGATGCCAAATATTCACTGCAGCTTTGAGTTATATGAATTCCATTATTATGAAAACCTCTTAATCTCTGTGGCATCTCTAATACCAAGTGTCACAATGCTTTCCCCCACATTTAAGATTTACAGTAATTGTTACTGCTTGTAGTTTTATATATGATTTTCCTTTAAATTCTCCTTCCCAATATGTACAGGTAGTCCCCAGTTTAAGAACAAGTTCCATTCCTAACGTCTGTTCTTAAGCTGAATTTGTATGTAAGCCAGAACAGTATTATTGTATAATACCGTATAGGTAGTATTGTGTAATTAACTCAAACCATTGTGTCTTTAATTGGAATCATTGTGTATTTAATTCAATTTTTGCTACAATAGGCTCTGTTCTTAACTATGGGCTGTCCATAAACTGGGCATCCTTAACTCGGGGACTACCTGTATATACACACTTATCAATTTAGAAGACCATTTCAAATATTTAATGAAGTGGACTGTAATCCAAATGACAACAGCCAGTGTGATACAGTGACTAGCATGTTGGGTGAGGATTGGGAAGATCAAGGTTTAAGCCCTTACTCAGCCATGAAAATTCAGTGGATGACATTAGGCCAGTTACTACATTTCTATCCAGCCCAATTCACAGGGTTGTTATTAATGGTACAGATTTGGAGAGGAGAGTATTATACATACTCCCTTGAATTCAGGAAAGGTAGAATATAATACAAATAAACAAAAAACCAAAGGTCATTTGTGTGAACATTTGTAAAAGGTACATTTTATTATATTTACACCAGGACTTCACTCTGCTTTAACACTCTTATGTGAATACTGATCTTTTGGTATTTCTTATAGGAATATATACCTCCTTAGCAAATAGTAATGCCAACATCCTTTGGAAAATGCCATTTGAAGCAAGTTTAATTTGTTTCCATTGCTTGGAAGAAAGAAGTTTTAACTGCTGTTAATTTCAATACAAAAGCAAAGTGAGGGTTTTATTATATAGAAAGGTTAATTTAAAATGATGAAGTAAGGGGCTACTTGATGTAGGATTTTACATATCTGGATTTAGAGAGGTTTGCATAATCTAACAATTTCATCAGAATAATGAAATGAGCTTTGTCACACAAGTCCCTGCTCTTATGTACTTCAACATCAAGAAACATGCACAAAGAGTGTGGATCTTGTGTTGGGACACTTGTTTTCCCATTTGCCCTACATTATACCCCCCGCCCACCCCAGGACATTCAGCAAATCTAAAAATTATGAAGCCACAGTAAAGTTGATTTAGCATGTTGTAATAGTCTTCTTCAACCTGCTATCTTCTGATCATTCTGCCTGGGAATTATGAAAATTAAAGATCCACACACATGGAAGGAACCAGGTTTAAGAAGGCTGTACCAGTCTACACAAGATATTTATGCTAGGGTTATGCAAATCATTTGGCAAGACTAAAAGAGAAATGCTACTTCAAGAAGAGTTTAGGTAGTAGCTGCCTCTCAAACGTTTGATTCAGCCACTTCAACAGGATTTCTTGGTTACTTGCACATGTGCCTAAGACACTTCCACTACGATTTATAGCCTTGACATTTCAGGAAGTGGTATTTGCTTGGCACTGCCAAATGATTTACACATCCCCTATTTATACTAAATATTTACCAAAGCTAAATGCATGTGGGATAATGCATTCCACTTTTGATAATGGTTGTAGTTTCACAATGATACAAGCACACTCTTCAGAGTTTGCACTTTTAATTCCAGTAGCCATATATCCATGATCTGGGGAAATTCGTATTTGCTGGATAAAAGAATCTTCAAAGGGTAGAGCTTCTGTGCTAAGTAGCGCTTCATAGTTCTGTTCACCTACAATACCAAAAACAGTCATGTTAAAATGGGAGAATTAATTCAAAGAATCATCTATTGCTTTGATATACTGCTGAATGTGTTTATAAATGCATTGTTTTGGAATTAGTCTTATACACATAGACCTTGATTTTGCTAAAGTTACTAAAATTCAATGGTATGAATTTGTGACAAATTTAATTGCCACTGCTTTAATGGAACTGGATTGATTGATTGATTGATTGACTGCCAAGCTGGTGTTGACTCCTACCAACTGCATTTTTGTTGCTGTTGTTGTTGTTCAGTCGTTAAGTCGTGTCCGACTCTTTGTGACCCCATGAAACATATCGCGCCAGACCTTCCTGTCCTTCACTGCCTCCCGGAGTTTGCTCAGTTTCATGTCCATTGCTTCAGTGATGCTATCTAACCATCTCATCCTCTGCCGCCGTCTTCTCCTTTTGCTTTCAATCTTTCCCAGCATCAGGATCTTTTCCAAGGAGTCCTCTCTTCGCATTAGATGGCCAAAGTATCTGAGCTTGAGCTTCAGTATCAATCCTTCCAATGAGCAGTCAGAGTTGATTTCCTTTAGGACTGACTGGTTTGACCTTGTGGCAGTCCAAGGGACTTCCAAGAGTCTTCTCCAGCACCACAATTCAAAGGCATCAATTTTTTGGGGCTCAGGCTTCCTTATGGTCCAGCTCTCACAGCCATACATTACTATTGGAAAAACCATAGCTTTGATTATGCGGATCTTTGTCGGCAAGGTGATGTCTTT